TTTTTTTTTTTTTTTTTTTTAATTTATTCTAAGAAATTTGGGCTTAATATATAATGGTAACATAGAAACTATTGTGATTGTTAAAAATAATACTCTAGGATAATTTTGACATGATATTCACATACTTTCAATAAAAAAAAAATGTAATTTTACATCGAATTCTCTTGTCTACGGCAAGATTTTTGTAAAATTATAATATTCTATTATTATTATTAATTTTTTTTTTAAAGAAAAAAATGGCTAATTCAAATGTCTTTCTCCCGATCGTATCGACAACACGGCCAATTCTAATGTCATCTTTAGTGAGTAGTGAATTCTTTAAATGTAACTAATCGATGATTTGTTTGTTTGTTTTCTTTTTTTTTCCTACGTTTTGTGATATTTGTGAAGTTTCATTGAAGAAAATATATATACCTTGTCCTCTCTGTAAAGTTTATTCTCAAAACGTGGGAAAAAAAAATAACATAAGGATTCATAGAAATGTATGTTTCTATAACAAAAGTATGCAAAGCAAAAAAGAACAAAAATGCAAAATAAATGCAAAAAATGAAGGTCCCACCGAGATTTGAACTCGGGTTACTGGATTCAGAGTCCAATGTCCTAACCGCTAGACCATGGGACCGCTGGTTGTTTAGAGAAGAAATAATTTTAATAATTTGACGGCGAAGCTAATTACTTTAATATATAATGGTAAGGGTAGAAAATATTGTCATTGTCCAAAATAATAGTCTAGGATAATTTTTTTTGACATGATATTCATATTATAATTAATATTATAATTAACTATTTATATCACACATTTATATCTTTATCCACCAATTAATTTTTTTATTATCATATTATAATTAATTATTTATAGCACATCAATTATTTACATTTATAAAAGACAAAGTTGTCCCTAATATCACAATATTCTTCGAACTTGTAATTTAATCATGATATTTTCACTTTTGCAAATTATATTACAATTTTCAGTTTATTGCAAGTTAGTGCACAATTTCTGAAAACCACTCTTAAAAAAGATTATGTGGTCGAAGAACAAACTGAAAATTGTGATATAATTTACATGAATCTTACAAATCGGTGCACCAATTTAAAATAAATTAAAGACTGTGATATCAATTTGCAAAAATTAAAATATCGTGATTAATTGGTAATTTCGAAAAAGATAAGATCGTGATACTAAGGGCAATTTTGCATTTAAAAAAGTTATTAATTGTTCTACACTTTATTTGACATGGTCCCCAAAATAGTTTCACAATTTACACTTGACCCCTTACACTCGTGACCAGTTAACCAATAAGCCCAACCCAA